AGAGGACGAAGTAAGCGTCAAAATTTGCAGAGTATTGAATGGACCTCGGAGTGTGAGACTGCTTTCCATCAGTTGAAAAAAGAGCTTGTGCAAGCACCTATTTTAGCTAATGCAGATTTTTCATTGCCCTTTTGGTGTACACGGATGCTACTAATCAAGGATTTGGAGCAGTATTAGCACAACAGCACAGGGGGGCAGAACATGTGATAGCTTACGAGAGTAGAAGCCTTTACCCAGCGGTACGAAGCGACACAAACTATAGCTCGTTTAAATTAGAACTTTTAGCAATGATGTGGGCCATCACTGAAAAATTTAAAGATTATTTGTGGGGTGCTAAAGTGATAGTGATAACTGACAAGAATCCCTTAGTTCATCTTCATGCTGCTAAATTGGGGGCGTTAGAGCAGAGTTGGGTGGCCCAATTGGCGAATTATGATTACAAGATCTGGTTCGGGAGGGCTCATATTAACACTGATGCCTTGTCAAAGCTGCTGGTCTCACATACTTTCCATAAGCCAGTCCCCCAGGTTGCTGTAGGCAGCACATTGTGGCAATGGTGGAAGCCCCAGGTAGACACCCCTGTGATACGCCCTTTAAGGGGGGGGGGGGATCCATGACATTGGCGGAATTTACAAGGACAAGATGCAGTTTTGAGGAGAGTTTTAAGCTATGTGGAGGCAGAAAGCTTGATCTTGAGAGAGGAACGACTGGCCCAGTCTGAAGACGTGCAGAAACTCTGGGGTCATTGGAATCATCTGTGTTTGAAGGAAGGTGTGCTCTGCCATTTCAGACAGGACTCAGCGACTCAGGAGATGGCCCAACAGATAGTCGTCCCTCAGACTCAGCTTCAGAGTTTGTTAGAGGCCTACCACAGTCGGATGGGCCATCAAGCAGTCAAGAAAACGCTTTCATTATTGCAGAGATATTTATTTTGGCCCCGGATAGAAACCTCGGTGCAGGCTACCTTGCAGGCTGCCAACATTGTGTTCTTCGAAAGGCCAAACCAGACGCTAAAGCTCCATTGACTGTCTTTGTCCCCCAGGCCCCTTTGCAAATTGTGGCACTAGAGTTTTTGTCATTGAGTCGACCCATGGACCAGTATCAGAACATTTTTGTTATGACTGATCTTTTTACAAAATTCGCGTGGGCTGTAGTCACTCCAGACCAGACAGCAGTAATAACTGCCCGAGTACTATGGAACTGTGTAATTTAGCCTTTTGGTTGCCCTGAGAGATTTCATTCAGATCAAGCGCCAGGGTTTGAGTTAGGACAAGAAATCTATGAGATCTATGGGTGCCGGAAAACACATACTACTGCATATCATCCTCAAGGGAATGGGACTTGTGAACGTTTTAACCAGACCCTACTGAATTTGTTGGGTACATTAGGTGTTGAAGGACAGGACCAGTAGGCGAGTCGAATTTGTTTACTGACCCATGCATATAATAAGTCTGTTCACAGTTCGACTGGATATGCCCCTACTTATTTAATGTTTGGTCGACATGTCCGTCTGTCTATAGACTTAGCATTGGGGACTTTTAATCAGAATAGGGTGGGTAGTGTCCAAGAGTGGGTGTATGAACATCATAAATCCCTAACCCAAGCTTATATGAAGGTCTGCTGGAATTTACAAAAAGCTGCAGAGAACAACAAACTACTGTATGATCGGACTGCGCGTGACTGCCCCTTGCTCCCAGGAGAACGAGTAATGGTGAGGGATCAACGGAGACAAGGAAAGGGCAAGCTGAAGGATCAGTAGAACCCCCGACCATATGTGGTGGTGAACCTACCATATCAAGATCAGCCTGTGTACGTGATAAGACCAGAAGGAAGATCCGTGCCAGAGCATTGTGCCTACCGTTTTCAGAGGTGGTACAAGAACATGATAATCCATCTGAGATTTCCACCCCTGAGATGATGGGATGGGGTTGTATTCAGGGACCTCTAATTCCTGTTTGGCAGGAGGTGGCTGGCCCCAGCCTTGAGGTAAGGCGGTTCCAAAGGCTGACCAGAAAGCAAATGCCAAGTAGGTATGAGGAATGGGAGTAACTGGTAGCAGGGACTACTAACCATTTAGTGTGGGAGGCTGTCATGGGGTGACTAATTTTGTAGAAATGATTAGGAGATTGAAAAGGGGAATGTAGAATGATAAGAAAGGAATATCTATTGGCCCTTGGAAATTGGGGTGGGGTCGGGTCGTCTTTCTCTGGAGATAAGTGTGCAGCGTGGGTGGAATGCAGGAGAGCCTTACAACAGGACAAACAAGCGGCAAGTGAGAAGAGGGGGAATGAATGCTTAGAGTCGGCGGGAGATTTGGACAAAAAGGAAGGCGGGCCGCAGAAGTGTGGGAGAGAGACGAGTGTTTCACGTAGAGAATGCCGCTGTTGGATCGGAGTACTAGGCAATCAAGGACACAATTGTGGTCTACGGGGAGAATGCCGCTGTTGGATTGGAGTACTAGGAAATCAAGGACGCCATTGTGGTCTATGGGGAGAACGCCGCTGTTGGATCGGAGTATTAGGCAATCAAGGACACCATTGTGGTCTACGGGGGGAACGCCGCTGTTGAATCGGAGTACTAGGAAATCAAGGACGCCATTGTGTTCTACAGGGCGGGGTGAGTTATTCATTCCCCCGGCCAGTTAAGTGTTTTTTCCTTCTCTCTTTTTGATTCACAAGTGTGTTAGCAGGGAATTGATTTCGTTGTCGTTGTAGCGGAGAGTGAGTGAGCCGGTGGATGCTGCTGTCGAATCCTAGCACGAGGAAATCGAGGACGCAATTGTTGTCTACAGGGAGGGGCGTATTATTCGCTCCCCCGGCCATTTAAGTGTCCTTTCCCTATCTCTTGTTGGATTCACGAGTGTGTGGGCGAGAAATTGATTGCGTTGTCATTGTAGCGGGTAGTGGCGAGCTGCCAGATCAGAACCAGAGTCGAGAGCAAACGAATCGGCCATTGTTTGGAGGAACCTCCACACGGACTACGAGATTAAGGACTGCGATTTACACACTACATATGAGGAGAGCTGCCTTGAAGACTGTGGTTCAAATAGTTTGAACTGTGCATGTTTTCTTAACCTCTGATGAAGTGAGTTTTAACAAGTAGAAATGTTTGTGTTATTTAGTAGTAGTATCGTCTTTCTTGTGCTGTTTACTATTTTACTCCAGTCTTGTATAGAAAATAGAGCTATAGTTAATTTAAATTGGGTAAAAAGGAGCTCAAGTATTCTGTGTGGTGTGTATTGTGGTGAGATTTATTGTGTGGGTTCACCTTGCACTTGTAATGATTATTTGCTTTTGGAGTGTCCTAGTGAGATTTCTTGTGGGTTTTCTTTTAGTACTTTGTTACTTTCCTATATAGCTACTTATCAAGGCTGATGTAGAAGGTAGTAAGTGTATTGTGGTGTGAATTAGTATATCATCTTTTTATCTTTTCAAGATTTTTTTATTGAGTGTATGAATTCTGATATCTTTTTACAGAACTTTCCAACTTCAATTTTGTAAAATAAAGACATTTTTGAGAAAGTGGTGATTCCGTGGCATTATTGAAGATTTTGGTTTGTTCCCCAGAGTTATTGAAGAGTGGGGTTGTAGTTAATTGGTGGAATTTGCCGCTTGCTCTGAAATCTCTATAGTGGTTAAACTTGAGATTAGGGATATGACGGTATCAAATTTTCATGTTGCGATTAATTGCTAATGCTTTTATCACTGTATACGTTATTATTACGATATTGAAATTTAGTTTTAAAAAAAGTGCTGTCATAATACAGTATAACAGGTTTAATAACTTTTTTCTTATAACAAAAATAACTGAACATTTAAATGCAATAAAGCAATACAGAAAATTGTATAAAGTTAAAAGTTTTACACAGATTAAAGTGCAAAAGAACTATAAAGACCAATAGGTATCACTTTACAATAAGACCTCATTAGTTAACCTTAGTTAATGCATTAACATTCACTATGAGCAACAGCTACATTTGCTACAGAAGTTATTCATCTTTGTTTTAAAAATACAAGTCTTAGTTCATGTTAGCTCATTAAATAACACTGTTGCAACTCTCGATTTTAACAACGTGTTATTAAATATTGTAATTACGTAAGATTAATGAATGTTTAGAAGAATTTTTTCATTGGCAGTTTATGTTAACTAATGAATTAACTAATGTTAACTAATGAAGCCCTAATGTAAAGTGTGACCGAACAATAAAGAATCAAAACACTTTCAAACAATATCTAGGGCATGTTGTAGTGCAGATTAAAATGTAAAAAAAGATTGAAAATAAATAGCCTATTAAGTCTAAATATTTAAGTATTTGGCTCTGTGATGAACATCATAGCAAATACACAAATCTGAATGGCTGTTTAAATCATTCAGAAACACGATTCAGAAACAGAAAGTAGAGCAGCTGCTTTGTTTACAGGGTTTCCGGGGTATTGGCTGCATTTAAATGAATTATTATTATGATTATTATTTCTGCAGTTTAGCTTCATCAGCTGTCAGAGAGTGAAAGTGCGCTTTCCTCCAGAGCGTCTCTCATGCGCTCCACCGTGCGCTTCTCGTCCGCGCTTGTTTACATCAGAGTGCGCACGCGTCTTTCACGCAGCATACAGCGCTGTTGTGCATTTTGACCAGTTGATGGGAAAAGTATTCTTAAAATGCATTCAAAATTCTGAATAATTTGTAATATATAATTATTCACGGTATTTAGAAGTGCCCACGATAACAATATCGTGCATAATCATTACCGTGATTATATCGCATTACCGAATACCGGCACAAGTCTACTTGAGATATAATTCATTTTGGGCAAATCTAATGGGCAGTCTTTGGTTTCATTATTCTATGATTTGTTCTAGAGCAAATAAATTTGCGGAGGTCAACGTTTCATAACTTTATATTTTTATATAACTTCAGTGATGTATCAGAGCGCTACCTTTGAAATCATGGTCTTAAATCATGTCAGGCACCTAGCTAATAAAAATTAACACTAAAGCATTTACCTGCACTAGTCACTCTGTTATCTAGCAGGTCAGCAGCCATATCCAGACACAGTCGAACTCTGGCCACCTGCTGCAGGTGCCCTATAGATACAGCACGTGCAGACACAGAATCAGAGTGAAGGAAATGCAGCAGAAAGTGTGTTTCCTCCTGCAAACAGGTCTGCTGCGCCACCACTGAGTGCCATTGTGTCCGATCGTACATCGAGTCCTGCAGACACAGGAGAAACTTACTGTACTTTTAACCTAGCTTTAAATATATACAGTACCACATATGTGTTCATATGTTCAATACCATTTCTTAAGGAATTGAACATTGAAAATAATTTTTTTTAATTAATTTAGTTGTTTTCCAGTAAAAACATCTAAACATGTTTATAACATACATTTACTTTAGAACTTACTTTATCTTTACATCTTTAAGTATAAACCTCAAAAAACTAACAAATAAATTAATTAAATTGGTAAGGATTATGCACAAAAAAATTACAACAGATACTTACAATCCCAGTCAAATGTTTGGACATACTGGATAGAATTTTTTGTTCATATAGTCAACAAAAATGTTCATCTAACTGTTGCTTGAAATAGGTTCATAATTCATGCACAAGCATGTCAGTAAGCTTTGCCTCACATATCTCGCAAGTTCGTAGGTAGCTTTTTCAGTCCATTTTAAATAAGCTATAAAACAAGGCTAGTGAACATGAGTCGATATACACACCTCCAAACAATTTATGTACAAGGAATAAAGCTCGGTTTTATCATTCTCCTTAATGATGTTGCTTTGCTCAACTTCTGTCAGATGCCGCTGAAGATAGTGCTTCACATCGTCAAAGCTGAGAGAGGATAAAACAAAAACTATAATACCCATAACTGTGCAAGAAGACTGTGTGAGCTGTTAGAAGCCCTGAGCTCACCTGTACTTGAGCAGGAGTTTCAGCACCACTGAACGCACCACTGGATTTTTATCCACAGAGTCATCAAAGGGAGAAAGAGCCTTAGTCAAGAACCTGCGGTCTTGCCCTGAGAGGACGAGAAACAACGTTCTGGTCATTTATTCATTCTAATCCAAATCTAGACCTCCACACATATATTTTATAGACAGACATACCTTCAATCTGAGGGAGCGAGTGGGCCTCTACCATCAGGAGGGACAACAGATGGTGGATGATGTCCTCACTGGGAGGAGTGCTGTCCTTGAAGCACATGGTGGACACCAAATCAATGAAGAAAGCATTGCATCGCATTCTGAACAATGCATTTTGACTGAAGAGACCCCTAAAGCATATAAAAAAAGCACATTAACTTTTAGATTGATAGAGACTTAGACAGGCAAATAGAGAGATACAGCACAACTATTTAGCCCAAACAATTAGTCGATTTACCGTATTGTCTCAGAGGCCTTGAGCTCAAAGTTATCAGGCACTTCATGGTAACACAGAGGACAGAGCATCTGACCGGGCACCAGCCACTGTTTGATACAGGTCAGGCAGTAGATGTGCTCACAGGGCAGACTCAAAGGGTCCTGCAGGTCTCCCCTGCACACTGGACAAAGCTGATTGCCAAACCTGGGGACAAATCACCAATATTCAATAGTTCCCTCTTACTAAACCCTCAGAAAGTACAACTAATAACAAATCATACCTAAAAATGCTCTGAGATGCTTCATCTTTGCAAGCTTTGAGTACGGTGATCACTGCCTCAAACGGCTGCTTCTTTTTGAGGTCTGAGTCCTGCTGTAGGACCTTTAGCAAAGAGATGAGTATTGATAAGCAGAAATAAAATTGTTTAAGAAACTATTTTCAAGTAAGGACTGAAAGCTGACTCACTTGTGTTAGGCATCGAGTGTGTTTGAGAACCAGTGGCCCAAGGTTTAAATGCACATCCTCGACACCCAGCAGGATGTGCTCCACAAACAAGGCCAGAGAGTAAATGCGACGCCAACCATGTCTAAATTAAAGAACATCTATTTAGATGACCTGCTTCTTTATTAACTAAACTGTAAATAATCATATCAATCCAATACAATCTAAAGCAGTGATTTTCTACCAGGGAAAAAGGGCTTTTAAGTGTATTTATAGGCTGTGATTAGGATAGACAATTAACCTATTAAAATGAAAATTGTTGCAGACAATGGGGGGATTTGGATTCCAAAAGGTTGATAACCACTGATCTACAGTATCTAAAGAAGTATAGAGCCAGATATTCCAACACAAACAGACTGAACAATGGCTTCTTTCCCAGAGCTGTAGGTGTTAACATATAGAAATGCAACACAACATACAAAAAAATACAACATGTACGAATAACTTTTCCCATAGGACAATATCTTTTAGAGCTCATAACTCACTGGATGTGGGTGACAATCTGTTCGCTTCTCTCTCCATAGTGCCGTAGGCTCTCCTCACAGCAAACCAGCTCAACTGGCACCTGTAGCTTTTTAACACGTCTAAGCCAGGCCAGACTCTGAACATCTTCATCTAGAGACTGGGGCTCCAGGCATTCAATACAGGCCACTGCAGCATACACATCTAACACCTGTGAAACAGAAAGACTGTCAGAGAAAAGTAACCAAAGTAAAAAATGCACATCCAATCGCTGTAATACATATTATGCAAACAAAAAAAAGTTGCAAGCACTTACCAGTTCTGTTCCCTCTCTGGCACATGTGTTATCTAGAAGCATCTGAGCAATCTGAGGCTCTATACTGATCATCCTGTAGAGGTTCTGTATTCGGTTCTTGAAGTGATGGTAGGCAGCATGAACACACGGCAGAGAAATGACTTCTTTCTCATGCACTTCTTGACTACCTCTGAGCTCATTTACACCACAAGTAAGGGCTCCACATAAGAGCTGAAAAGTAAAAACAGATATACAAACATATCACCACATGAACACTATATGTGCTTGGATGTGCAAATGATGTATAGAAATGTATCTCTGAAAAAGTCTGACTCTCACCTGAAGATTCACCACTGATGTTACCTTCATGGTCATGGAGATGAAATCCTGGAGATACCTGTGGAAAAACTCCATCTGCATCTCTTCGGTTGCTTCGGAGATGTACCCGCCCAAGGGGATATTCCAAAAAAACTTTTCAAATTGCTCTAGAGAGTGTCCTGTTGAAAGAAATGCATGGACATTTATTGTTTATGTTTTCCCTAGAACTGTTAAACAAAACAAAAAAACTGGAATAACTGTCACAAGTCACAAGAGAACAAACCACACTGATTTAAGTGTGATTGCTCAGACAGCAACAACAAACAGCAAGAATAGCAGTTAAGTAAATATACCTTCTTGCTGAAAAGCATGTACCCAGAGTTCCTCTAGATAATCTTTAATTCTCCAGCTGAAAGGCATGGTGCAACCCACATTGCTGTCAACTGCAATGTAGTTCTGAACCAAGATTGTCTTCACTGAGCTGTTAAAGACCAAATGTTTCTTTATTTAGTTACAACAACATTGCTTTAAAGCCAAGAAATTTACAATGCACGTGTACCCACTATCAGTGTACAGTCATGTTTTGTATACTTAACAGGTTTTCTTGCTTCCCATGTGATCAGACAATTTAACTCTAACTTGCTCAGAAGAATTCTGTTTTTAACTACTGCTCTGAAATGAAAGCAGTTGACCTGAAAGAAAAAGCGATCTAGCTCTGCAATGCAGATTTGCCTTGCATTGTGAACTGCTGTCTGACACACTGTGGAATAAAATAAAATCAAGCTTGTGTAGTTAGGAGCATTAGTGTGTTTTGGTCCCAAAGGCTTACACAATGTATCTTGAAATCAAATAATTACACACTTGTTGTCCAGTCTGGTACAAGGAACATTCAGTAACTTGACATCTCCAAAAATGTCCAGCCACAATTTCCTCAAGGATTCATCAGAGTTTCTATCCAGCAAGAGGTCTAGATTGCAGTCACGGTCAATAATTGAAACAAGTTGTGCCAAAAATGGAGTTACTTCTGCTTGAACTCGTCTCCAAAGGGCATGTCTAAAATACAGAAATGAACAACTACTGAAAGTAGAGTTTTTTATGTATAGGGTATAGTTTCACAAAGATATACAATTCAAGACCTTTATGCACTTTACACCTACTCTCATTCACTTACCTAAAAGTCCCACCCTCTTGCAATGCATCAATATTAAGTGCCTCCTTGGAGACCCAGCTCTTGCTAGAGATTGTGTTTTCATCGTGAGCCATCAATAGAGAATGAAGTTGTTTCTTTAACGCTTTGATAAATTCAGCTGGTAACATAAATATATACATTTCAGTAACCACATATACGTTGGCCAATCAAAGCTATCAAAAAGACTAACAGAAAGAGTGATAAGCCTCACCTTGTAGAGTGTCATTGTCATCCAAGAGTATTAGCAGAGTCTCTACTCGCTTGGTGCTGCGGGTGCCTGCCTCTGTCTGATCTCTTAGCATGCCAACTGCACTCTGAACACAGCTACGAACCAGCACGTTGGTGTCTAAAACATTCTCCCAGCCCTATAGAGCATAAGAAACAGAACTACATTTTGAAGCTTACTAAACTCAACAGGGTGACAACAGTATCAAAAACATACTGAAAATATTTTGCTGTTGTTGAGGTTGTGACCCACAGTACTGTCTTCTAGTTTCATCTTCTCTTCTTCTGTATGCATGTCTTCATCGTCCATAGCTTTAAGCAATCAAAATGACTTGAGAATTCTGATCACTCCTTTAAAGACATATTCTGATAATAAACCATCGTCACCTTCAGGCTCATCTGCTTTCTCAGCTTTCTGTTCAAACAACTGGCTGATGGTCAGACACTGCAAGGCTTTTATATCAGAGACAATGTCTTTCGATGTTCTCAGGTCATCAATGTGGACTGACTTCCAAAGGCCTTAATAAAGAAGTCTTTATTGAGATTTTGTCTAAAACAAACATAATGTTGGTCAGTAATGCAAACAATCAGTTGTCTTACCACCATGAAATCCAACATAGGAAGTTCCACCATCCATTCTGGGTAGCTTAGTGATGAAATAGACAAAAATCTTTCCACTGGACACTTTCCTGAATCTGTTGATTTCATTGAGAGAAGAATACCTGGAAATATATCAAATAATGCTGATTTAATTGGATTCAACAAGTAAACAGGTGAACAAGTAAATTGGGCCACTAAACACATTTAACTCACTTTGCAGATGCAATGAAATTTAAACTTTGGGAGCTTTCATCAAAATTGGTTTGGATGATAAGTATCTTGTCTCCAGTGGTGTTTTCCAAATAATTCCTGCACACAGAAAATGTAATTTAATTAATAATAGATATGCTTTTGCTGTTGTGATATGATGTGATGTTTTAAGCACAATACCTGATCTTCTTTAGGAATGAGTTTTCTGTGTCAAACTGCTGTAGTGAGAGGAGCTCAATGTTTTGAACTATGTTCTGTAGCTGTTCAGTTTCTGTTGCGGTCAGAAGCCTTGAGAATGTAGTTACCTACAGGATTAAAAAAAAGAAAGCAAGAAACAACTTTGTGCACTAAACTTGCAAAAATACAAATGTTAAATACTCAAAACATTTAAAATACAATATGCTTACCTCTGTAAAAAAGGCATGGCTAGGCCCTGCTTGATGTATTTGAGAAAGGATGAAGTCAGCAAGTGACCTATGCTTCTGGTCTTTAAAGTACACACTTGACAAGTGCTCACTTTCTACTTTGGGGAGTGAAGTGCAGTCTAGCCTAACCACTGCATCTGGTGTAGCACAATTCAAAAGGATCAATTTAGCCTCATCTAAAATCCTCTTCAAAGAATCTGAAATCTGCCCTTTGAGCTGCTCTGTAACTTGCAGGACAACAGAGGCACAGGTGTCTGAGTGGTAGCCAATGAAAGCATCAGCTGGATGGTAACGGCATGCTTGGGGAGCAAATTCATGATTGCCTTTGGTATCAATGAAGCATCCAACCCACTGCTGAAGCTTCTCAACAAGGTCCTTTTGCTCACTCTTTAGTATGGTATTGATGTCAAGATAATGTTTCTCCAACCTGTTGATCAATGGAATGGGAAACTGCTTGTACACAACATCCTTCTCTTCAATGACAATGAGCCTGAAATTTCTGTGCACTCTGCATTTGACTCTGTGAGTTCCAAGCCCCAAATCCACATATTTCTGACCTCCAAGCCAAACATAATATTGGTTGAGAGCATCATACAAGCTTTCATACAAGTTCTGCAGGTTCAGAAGCACAATGGTTTGACCAGTTTCCATACAAATCTTGACACGGTTAATATTGCGGCATATCTGAGTATACTCCTGGTCTTTTGGAAAGCTTGAACCAAAGATGATCTCTGGTTGGCACTGATCTGAAAAAAACGTTTGCTGTAGAATTCGAAGGGCTGCATAGTTTTTGGTCAGAACCAGCAGGTATCTGCACTCCTCATCTTGACCAATGGCTGTGATGTTCTCTTTTACAAGCTCAATGATTCTGATATTCTCAAGCTTGGGTTTGATATTTAGTCTTCTAGTGAAAACTGTGACAGCATCCACATTATCCTTCCCACTGAAGTTCCTCAGTACAGCTTTCACAATCTGCTCTGCACTAGGCTTCTGATTTGAATCTTTGGCTAAAGCAAACATCATTTTTATCAAGCTGTAATAGTCTCGCAAACCAAAGAAACCTCTGCCTTGTTTGTTACAGATGTGCAGGTAAGCCTGGGCAAAAGGCTGAAAGTAATCTCTCACCCTCTCAAGGATCATGGGATCTGAAGAACATATTCCTTCAGCAGTTTCAATCAATTCCTTTTCATCAGGATCACCACGAGAAACAAATATCCCTCTATTCATCTTGGCTGGATCCAAAGCCCAGTTTGAGATACCGATGAATCCAACCTTCTTGTGGGGTACTGGCTGGTCATCTATGCATCCTTCTTCCAACAAAGGATGTAAAGTTTTCAGGGTCATTTTCTGGGAATCTTCAGCCAAGCCTATCTCATCTAGCACTACCACTGAGACATACTCCTTTAGATTCTTTCCTTCCTGAAAACGGGCACATTGCTTGAATGTATTGATGATCCCATATGGTGTAGAATGAGGACTGCACTGGAAGGAAACAAGATGAATTTGCTTTAGCTTTTTAAACAAATCTGAATGAGCTGCTTGTCCTTGCATGCCATCTGCAACTAGAGTTTTTGACAAAGACTTAGAGCTTCCAGGTTTTCCAACCAAAAAGAGAGGTATTCGCAGTTCAATGCAAATAACCATCATGAAGACATTTTCCTTCAAGGCATTGTTTCGGGCAATAGTTTCACCCAATGGAACTCCACTCAGGAAAAGATCCTGGATAACTGAGATCTCCTGCATCACTTTCATTTGGCTATAGGATTCTGGAAGGTATCTGCAAATATTTTCTCTATATTTCTCCTTATCCTCCAAGCAGGCATGGTAACACACACCAACAGCCATAATTAATGACCATAGAATTGGGATTCTTATTACAGTATCCCTCTGATGTTGATCATTAATTTTTCCACTCTCAAACTGGTCAAGCTCTGAGAGTAGCATTGAGTGGTTTATGTAGAACCAGCTAAAAACTTGCATGCAGCGCTCTACGTCCCTCAGACTCACAAAACTACATTCATCCTTTCTTGTTCGCATATACATCTGTGAGGCTGACAGAACATCTGTGATGGTTGTAATGTAGTTTGAATCAATAGAATTTGTTTGAACTACTCTTTCGACAATTTGCTTGATGTACATTTTCTCAGTCTGGTCACTGAGTTGTCCAAAGTCCCAAACTAGTGGAATCATGCTAGGTGGCAAAGCATGCACTCTGTACACAAGCTGGCGAAGTGGAATGGATCCAAGTTTTTCATCTGTTTCCTCAGCATGAACTCTGTATCCCAAACCAGCTGACTCCAATCTCTTGATCATTTCATCTGTGTGTTTCCTGTATGGGTTGCAAGCGGCAATGATTTGCAAGCCAGTGTCACCTGTCAAATCCTGTCCTTTAGCAGTGTTGTCACAGAGGATTTCCTTAATGCTGCCAATGGCCTCTGTTGTGTTTGCTTCATCAAAAAACAACACAGAGTCAAAGCCATGATCCTTCTTGTTTCTTGAAGCCATGTCCTCTGCTTCTCTCACTTTGGTGTAAATCATGTCTGAGCTTGTCCCTCCATGAACTTTTACTAGTTTCATGTTGTCAGAGGCAACTACACCTCTGTGCATCTCACAAAGAAATTTGATTAGCCTGGTCTTCCCACATCCTGTCTCACCCATGATTATTACGGGAATCCCGCAGCGGAAGCGCATGTGAATTGCCAGCATTTTCAAAATGTTGTCTGTGGTGAGCTCATATGTTTCCTCTGGGTCAGTAGGAGACTGTATTCCCAACACCCTGGAAAGTCTCTCAATTTTCTCATGTCTTGGGAGCTGGTCAAAATCAATATTAAAAGAAACTCCCTGTAGTTTAAGGCCCTCGTAGAGCTCTCTGGTCATGATATTCTGCTTGATCACTCTGTTTGTTGATGGATCAATAGCATCAATCTTTTTCTGTGCATTTGGCTGAAGATGAAAGCCAATGAATGTCATAGACACATGGTCATCATTGAAGACAATATATGGATGTGGTTCTGACTCCCATCGTTTTCTTATCCTAAAGGGAGCAAGATCCTCTTCATTTGCAGAAGAAAGGTCATTTTGCAGTCTCCCTGGACTCTGGTCAGAGATGCTAAGTGAAGGAGTGGCAAAATCCTTTGCCATGAGAATCATGAAATCAACAACAACATTTTTAAATCCCAATAAAATGTCCCCTATATGTGAAACATCACAGAAAACTGAGTTTTCACAATCCCTAAGTTGTAAGTTTAGGAACCAAGCAAAATTCCGCAACTCTGCCCAAGATGGGTCTGCAATGCCACAGTACACAAACAATATCTGCAGGCATTCAACATGAGTGCCCTCAACTCCTTGGTACCTGAAGGCATCCAAATTAATACCATTGTAGAAGCGTTGCAGGTACTGATAAGGCCGCTGATAGGCCTCACTTTGGAACTCTTGGTCATCCATAAGGGGATCATCACCCTCTACTAATGACGGATCTTCCTGGATTCTCATTTCTAGCTCAAGGACCTCTTTAGGTGGACGGCAGTAAACAATTGGAAACACATCCATGAAAGCAGATGAAACTTCCGCACCCTACCACAAAAAGGTAAATAAATTCATTAGAAATTTTTCTGATAACAAGAAAAATCAAATATGATTTAATTAAATAATATATATTTCCTTACAGCTTTTCTGTCATTCTGTGAAGTTCTGCCATCCGGTCTTAGAACCTCAATTACATATAAGTGCTTATTACTGCTTTTCCACATGTTTCCTTCCGAGTCCATGAGGTATCCAAGAATCAACAGCCTGAACAGAAATTCATGAAGTCCTGTTTTAACCTGTAAGTAAAGAAAACAATAATGAAAAACAGCAACAAAATGTATTTCTATTTGTTCATCAAATTGATAAAAAAAGATCAAATTGATCAAAAAAAGTAAATACAGGTAGCTACCATGGTGGTGATGTCAAAATGATAGACTGAAAGTTCCTTTTTCTTGAGGCTGTTGAGCAATAACTTGAGGATGGCATTTTCATCAACTCTTGTCTCAGTTAACCTGATGCTCTTCAGCTGTGAAAGCTTATTAGTGATCTTTTTCAATTTCTCATGCATTCGTTTAATGTGAAGTGACTTCCCTAGAACACACCACAGAAAGTAACTAATCTGACACACTGCAGTGCAAAAATATTTCTATTCATACACACACAGAAAACACAAAGTTTTTATTTATTTATTTTTATTTTATTTGGTCAACTAGTGATTTATACTCACCAACTCCTGACCTTTCAGAGACTACAACTCCCACAAACTGTCTGTTTTTGAACACAGCAGCAGCACTGGATATGTCAGCTGGGATTGTAAAATGCCTAACAAGGTATTGCTGAATACGGATTACTGGTTCTTGGGGAACCAAGTGCAATCTAAATTGACTAAAAGCAGAGGGAAGGTATGCATGTTCTCCATTTGAGCTGCAGACCAACACCAGTCTGTAATCATCTCTGCACTGTGCTTTTTGCTGCTGAAAAAATTGCTCCACTTTGTAGCTGACTTCATAGGTAAGCTGGTCCACATAGAGCATTGTGTATATCTTCTTTCCCCTGTAGCCAGCAGAGAGACAACGCCTGAGGAAAAGCTCCACTTCTTCATATGGAGTGGAAGCACTACAGAGGAGTACTTCATCATAGGTTGGTAGAGGCTCATTTTTGCTGCTCATGTAAATTGAAATACATGCTATTAGACTTTCTTCAGAAGGGCAGATGATCAGATTTGGTCTTCCAGTAGCCATTCCATAGGGGAGTTCTCTCTGAATATTACTTGTTTTCTCATCCTGTTTGGAATCACTCTCATATTGACTGGGACCGTTGGCTAGTATTTCAAGAAGATATCCAAGGCTTCTGACATCAAGGCAGTCTGGCAGGAAGTTGTTCATGTCTCGCATGTAAGCATTCCAAATCACACATAGCTTTTCTGACCCATTAGCTTTTCTCAACAGACTTGGCAACTTGTCAAACGATGGACATGGCTCCTCAGTACTCAAATCACATTCTATCATGCTGGGAACTTCTGCAAATGTTTGAAATTCTAAGTCATAATTTTGCTTAAGTTCCTTAATTACATCATCCTGAAGCCTGTGCCAAGCTTGTGTCACATCTGAAAAGGAGCAATTAGGTTTGATAAAGGAGAGCATCATAAGAACTTGATCATTCATTTCAGTCACATTTTTTTGGGTGAGCTGACTGCACAGGTAGACCACCTGTTCTGAAGTGAAATAGTTTAAGTAATAATGCTTGGATCTCTGCTTGGCCATAAAAGCCTTCCAGAAGCATACACAGCTCTCCATTTTCCGGCAGACTTCTGGTAACTGTTCTGTGACATCACCTTCCATCATTACACTAACAACACTTCCTAAATCGAGGTCCATAATGATGCATGCTTCTTTACTATTACAGTTGACCTTTGCCTTCCAGTGTCTGAATAACGGATTTCCAGCAACAAACAAATCAATGAACGCACAGGCCAACCTCTGTACACTGGCAAAGACCTGGAAACAGGAAAGAAGTTCAGGGATAATTACAACAACCATGGTGAAAGACAGCAGAATAAAAAAGCTAAAAGTTGTAATGTCACCTCTGCAAATCGTTTGACTTCACGCTGGCCCTGATCTCCTTTGCCCGACATTAGCATCAATTTATTCTGAAGGTCCCTGAGGTCTTCAAAAGAATAACTGCGTGTCTCACGGCCCTCATCATGCTCTTCTATAACATGTAACTTCAGAATATCTTCCAAGCAAAACTGAAAAAAGCAATATTCAAGGATTATTTCCAAAGTTTTATCTGCATCAAATATACTATTCGACAGAGAAGAGAGAACTAAAATGCACATTGTACTCGTGTAGTATTGTATTATGTATTATTTATATAATTGAATCAAATGCTATATTACCATAAAATAAAGTCAAGATGGTTTACTTTACATCAGAGAATTAAAAGTGGTAGCCTGTTAAATACATGGATTTACATGCTAAACTATTTGTATGCTTAATATCTGTCACAATTACAAAAGTTTAAATTTGGTATTTAATAATTCTGCTAATAAAATAGCATATATTTCAGCATGTCATGCAGTAATTTGTTATTCATTATCTGATATTTTTTATAAGTAGATCTGTCCGTGTGCATTTGATTCGTTATTTATGTACAGATGTTCAGTAACGGTCAGGAACGTGAGCTCATGAAGAGTTTTGACTCTTGCTTCTTTGTGCCAGTGGTTCTTGAGATGTATTCAAGTGCAAAACTCTGCAGGTTTACTTTTTGATATTGTCTAATAATCCAAATGTAGCTGTATACGTCATAATACAAAGTAAATGGCATGCAATGATATTGGGGCTTCATTTTAAATTCCTATAATGTTTGTCTCTTCTGTTTGTTGAAAATATAAATTGAATTAAGATAATAATATAATCATTTAAATAAATGTTACTCTTACTCAAGTAACTATTAAGGTTATCACTTTTACTTGAGTACTTATTTCTATAAATATTTCTATAAGTACTTGTACTTTCATTTGAGTACAGTTTTTGGATACTGTACCCCACCTGGGCCCCATAGTGTGAGGCCTACACCTGCCCTGCATTTCACACCGGTATCGGGGCCCACAGTGGGCTGCCCGCGCGTGCTCAATTTTCTGCCCGTAGGGGGCCTACACGGGGCAAGTTTGCTGTGTTCAGTTGAGTGAAATAACTTACTTCTGTGATTTGATGTGGCTTCTTTTCACAGAATAAGGCAGAAAATATATTATAGTATTCTACACTATAATCGACATAGCCTTTATTAACTTTGCATTATAAATATACTTTTAAAAATTATACTTATTATTTATATTAAATTTATGGATTACATTTTAGATTTTGATGTGAAAGAGAACACATTTTATAGGCTTGGGGAAAAAATGCCCTTACAAATGTGAGAAATGCATTTACACAGTACGCATACATACAGTGGTGTGAAAAAGTGTTGGCCCCCTTCCTGATTTCTTATTTTTTTGCATGTTTGTCACACTTTAATGTTTCAGATCTAAACACAAACTTTTTTTTTTCTTTTTTTCTTTGTGCTCCATCAGTGTAAGTAATGAAGTAATGACAAACCTTTTGATTTTGTGCACTAATAACGTAGACACCGTTGATGTTGATAGCTGATGCCAGAGACAGAGATGAGGTTTCCACTGACCCATGACTGTCCTTGACTGTCTTTAACCATTCTAAGTGTCTTGCGGAGTCACTCTGAAACAGAGAAAATGTTGATGAACAAGAATGTGACAAATCCTGCTTTCTTTTTCTGGTTGTTTAAGCAGATTCTCTCACCAGTTTCTTTGGGAGGTTGTGGTCATTGTCAAGTGCCTTCCACAGTTTCTTCATTGTCTCTTTAAACAGCTTGAAGTCAGCATCTGGCTTCAAATCATAGAGCATTGAGGAGTAGCCAAGAACTGCATCATGAAAATAGGCCACACGATCCACTTCCATATCATTCTCTCCGGCAGAGATGGAAGCCAAATCCACAAAGACTTTCAACTCATTGATGTCTGAAGTGATGAAGAAGAATAACATTTGCTTACAAAAGAGCATACAAATGTATGAAATCGCATTCAAGTACCAGTTCAAACACATTTATTTACCTCTAAGAGCCTCTTTTACCCACGTAACAAAATTATTTCTGAGGCAGAGCTCCTGAAGGCACAGTCTACGGGATTCTGTAATATCCACAAGCACCATTTTTGCCTGCACCAACTCATCATCAATACGGTCAAGATGCTCCTTGTGTCTCTGAAAGAAAGTAAGCCTTGTGGGTTTATCATATTCCTTATTTATCTTTTTAAAAAACTGTACTTATGATGACTTACAGTATTAAGTAACTTCTCCAAGACTTGAAAGTCTCCTTGTAGGCCGAGTGTTTGTTTGACCCTCTTGACCACCTTAGCTGACTCTACTGCCAGATGAAGCTCATGGTACTGCTCAATCTGATGGATTCTTGTCTGAACCCAACCTTGGTCATCACTGCGATCCAGTCTGCATATGATTGCAACTTCTGCTGCCAGTTCTTTATATTTTTTCTTGTAGGCTTTGAATGTTGCATCAATATTTTCAAAAGTGATGCTGCCATCTTTAAGCGCTGTGTATATGTTTTTGTAGGCATTGTAGCATGGTGTAAATATGTCACTGTGAAGCTTTTTGGGAGTGATAACCAAATCATCCTCTGAAGAAACTGCTCCTTTGTCTTTAGCAAACTTTGTTGCCTCATTGACCCAACACTTTCCAAAGATGTAGCTGTCTTTGTATGTGTATAGGACCTCTGCCATATATCGAACATCATCTTCAAGCTCAAAGTAACTGACTACTCTTACTTCAGAGGGAATCTGATTTAATACATGAACGTCCACAAACTTGTCCAGGTCCATCTCATCAATGTCATTACGACGTTTGTCTTCCAACCCTTCAAAATCAACTGTAAAATAGAAATGTAGTATTAAAATGTAATATTAAAATCTCTCTGTAAAAGCAATCTTTTATTGTCGGGTGTTCAAAAGAGAGCTTATACCTGTCGCATGTTTCTGTAGATTGCGGCACATTGTAATGAGAGCATCCACCAGTGATTTCTCATGATAAATAGCATTCACCTCCTTTTGTCTACAGTCAAGAAGCCTGTTCATGGCATTGATATCCCCGTATTGTTCATTGTCACAAAAACAATCTGGAAAAAATATTAAGGCCATGACTCCTCAAATTACAGTATGTAAAAGGGAGAAATCTTATATGTTAAGTATTTTACCTAAATTAAGCAGGTCAAAGAAAGCACTCTTGTTTTGCAGGATGTGGTTGAGTAGCTTTATTTTTATTTTCCCCGATACAAGTTGATTTAAAATGTTTGTGAATGATGAGATTGCCATGTCAAATTTCTCTTTAGCTTCTTCAGAAAGCTGACTGATCAGTTTTTCACCTACAGAGTAAAAAATGTACATATACTTAAACATTATATATACCGTTCTTTAAGACTGGTGAGATATATCATAGGGTTGCAATGCACTATGCAGAGGGAATCAATATAATACCATGAAGCTGAAAGATATTCTTAGCTGCAGTCCAGCCCAGAAGATGTTTGAGAACAACTTCTTCATCCTCCAGATATGTTCCTTTGCTGTCTCTTGGCCAGGACTTCAGGATGATGGTAGACACAAGTGTGTCAGTTTTCCAGTTTAGTTGGAAATGATTCAATCTCTCAAAAAGTTTCCCCTCAGATTTAGCCTGTTAAAAAAAAGTCTGTATTAATGTTTAATTTAATTAAAGTCTGTATTAAAACAGTAAGTGTCTGTATTAATGTTTTTCATCGTATTAAATAGAATTTGGCAAAGTAATGTGAAATCCATGAAGATCATTGATTAATGTATTGCTCAAACACTGCAACTCTCAATGAACAGCAAACTCTACACCACATACATTCACATCTCTATGTATTAATAAGTTTGTAAATGGATAGTTAATAAAAAATTAACTGTCATCTGTCACGAATCCTGTCCATGGACTTCCGTTATATGGCAATGGCAAATTTATTTATATAGCACCATTAATTACAACCCATGGTTGTCCAATGTGCTTTACAACAAAATAAAAAATGAAAACACAAAAACACATTTACTTAAAAATACACAAAGTATAATAAAAAACAATAAAATGTAAGGCAGGAAAGTGTTAATACAGATTATAAGCCTTGTCAAACAAATACGTTTTTAAGATAGATTTAAAAGCAGATACAGCGGGGGCAAGTCTGATTGTGATAGGTAATTCATTCCAGAGTCTGGGGGCAACTACAGAGAATGCACGGTCACCTCTACACTTATACTTCGAACTAGGGATAACCAACTGTTTGGAAGACCGAAGTGATATGGTGGGAAAATGTTCAATCAACAGGTCAGAAAGTTAAGATGGGGCCATACCATTCAGAGATATGTACAATATTGTATAGTAAAATTTTAAAATCAATTCTGTGGTGCACTGGTAACCAGTGCAGAGAGCGTAAAATTGGAATGATGTGGTCCCGTTTTCGAGTACCCGTAAGCAATCTGGCTGCTGCATTTTGAATTAACTGTAATTGGGACAGAGCTGATTGGCTAATCCCAACATATAGAGAATTACAGTAATCCAGCCTGGAGGATATAAAGGCATGGATTACTTTTTCAAAATTTTTGAAGGAGAGAAAATACTTTATTTTTGATAGCATTCACAACTGAAAAAAGCATGATTTCACCACCAAGTTTATCTGCTTATCAAATTTAGAGAGCTCATCAAAGACAACACCCAGGTCTTCTTCACACAAGAAGACAGCCCACCAAGATTTGCTTTGGGATTATGAATTGAATCTGAAGGACCAAAGACTATAATGTCTGTTTTACGCTCATTAAAATTCTGAAAGTTTAGAGACAACCAGGACTTTACATCTGACAAGCAAGCCATGGAAAGTGTCCAAACCGTCTGAATTATGTTTTAAGGGCAGATAAACTTGGGTGTCATCAGCATAACAATGGAATGACAGCCCATACTTCCTGAAGATAGAACCAAGTGGGAGCATGTATATTGAAAAGAATGGGAGACAAAATGGATCCCTGAGGAACCCCACATGATAAAGAAGCAGCACTAGAAAAATGATCTCCAATATTAACTGAAAAACCAATTTAAGGCACTACCCTTAAAGCCTGCGCATTGCTCCAACAAAGCAATAAGAACTTCGTGATCGACCGTATCAAATGCAGTGGTCAAATCTAGGAGCACAAGCACAGCATAGTTGCCAGAATAGCAGGTTACTCAAATATAATTTAAAACTTTCAACAATGCATTCTCAGTAGAGTGATGTTTTTTAAAACCGGATTGAAATATTTCAAAAATCATGTTGTCATCTAGAAAACCCTGCAATTGCTATAGGACAATTTTCTCCAAAAGCGATAAATGACAAATTTGAGATATGTCTAAAGTTTGTTAACACTGTGGGGTCTAAGTTCTGTTTTTTAAGCAGGGGGTGGACTGTTGCATGTTTTAATAAGTCAGGTACAATACTGGTTTCTAAACAGCGATTTATCATAATCAAGAGCTGTGGACCAACTACATCATAAACTTGTTTAAGAAAATATGGAGGAATTATATCAATAGAAGAGCCCGAAGGCTTAAGCTGATCCACTATTTCTTGAAGTGCCAGGAATGGGTTTAAAATGACTAAAAGCAGCACTACAAACAGGATGCAAAGAGGGATCGAAGCAAGAGGGAGTTATCCCCAGTCTTAGATTACTTATCTTATTAACAAAAAAATTAAGAAAAGCTTCACCCATAGATGAAGACATTTCAGAAAACAAACACACAGAGGGGTTTATAGTAGTATTGATAATAGTGACAAGTGTTTTTGGCTTGTGACAGTTTTTAGTAATGATTTCTAAAAAACAATATCTAGATTTTGCTGCTTTGACTGCTTTCTGGTATTGCAATAACGAATCACTTAGTATTTCAAAAGAGACCTGGAGTTTGTCTTTTTCCATGTACGCTCAGCTCTTCTACAACACTTCCTGAGCGAGCGTATGGTATCATCTATCCAGGGCTCTGACCTAAGTTTTCGTTGTAAGGTCTTTAAAGGTGCCACTGAGTCTAAGACATTTGCAGAGATAGAATTAAACCTGGATAGGAGCTCTTCAGCACTCAAATCTATTTGAGAATCATCCAGGGATAGAGTGGCTTCACAGAAAGCTAGAGAAAAAGCCGGGACTGGCGAGCAGATGAAGTATGTTTAGAAACATTTAAAACACAAGGAACCATAAACATAACAGTCTTGTGATCAGAAAAAACATTTTCACAAACCTCAAGGTCACAGAGAGAAAAACCATGCGAGAATACTAAATCAAGTGTATGTCCATGCTGATGGGTAGGGACATTGAACTGTAGAACTACATCAAAAGCGTGTAATAAATTGATGAAATCCTTAGCTAAATGATCATCAGTGCAGCAAACATGAACATTAAAGTCTCCCAGAATGAAAATTTTATCATATTTCGGTATGAATTCCCCCAATAAATATGCAAAATCAGTTAAAAAGTCCTTGTTGTATTTTGGAGGACAGTAAATCACTGCTATCAGAAATGGATCAAAAAGTTCCAGAGCAAATAACTGCAGTTCAAAACTGCTGTATTCATTAACCCTTTCGCACGTGAGTTTAAAATATTGTAGCTGAGCCCCCAGCGACAGAGTGACAGGGAAAAGTGTCTTTATAGATGGAGGCCAAGCCTCCACCCCGACCCGTAGTATGAGGAGAATTGAAGAAAGAACAGTTTGTTGGTAGCAGATAACAACACTCATACCACACAGACTGTCACACATCACCCTGGACTACATTTCCCATGTTTCATTGCACTGATTATGCACTCACCTGCAACCAATCACACACACTTTAAATATGAGGCCCTAACCACTGTTCAGGGCCGAGTATTGTTTAGCATCTATCTCTGTATAGTGATAGCTACTTTACAGAGCCATTCCCAGTTTCCAGTGTCTAGTCTAGCCTAGCCTAGTTCTTAGTCTGTTTACCCGTGTCTTGATCCTTGCCCGTTATCTCGTCTCGTCTGATCTCCGCCTGCCTTGGAATTTAGCCTGTTTTGGAATTACCCTTTGCCTTTCTGTTTCGGACCGTGTTTGCGCCTCACCTGGACTCTAGCTCGTCTTGTGGATTCCCCGTTTGCCTCGCCCTCCGGATTACGTTCACCGTCGACTGACTCACACCTTCCTTTGGATACTCTTTTGTCTTGCCTGAAATATACCTGTTTGCCACTGTTTGACCCATGCCTGTTTTATGACCACGTCTCTGTCTAATAAAATCCTGCTGTTTTTCCAGAGCCGATGGCGTCCGCTGCCTCAGTCCTTGAGACTGTAAATGCACTGCCTGTATCTCGTTTCTCAGTTTTCCCTAGGCCCAAGTCCCTGCCATGGGTTCCTGATCACTCTGGTCCACTGTGGTGGTCTTCGGCTATGCTCTGCTAGACTTCTGCTCTGGTCTGGTGGTCTTCTGCTCCGGTCTGGTGGTCTTCTGCTCTGGTCTGTGGTCCTCAGCTCCGCCTGCTCCACCTTAGCTTCCTGCTTTGCTGGCTCCACCCTGGTTCTCTGCTCCGTCCCGGCTTCCTGCTTTGTCGGTTCCACCTTTGTGCCCTGCTCTTGCCTTAGTTCTCGGTCTCTGCACTTCGACGTGGACCTGGCCCTCCGTCCCTCCCCCTGTTCCACTTCCACTCCACCGCCCTCCTGGATTGTATTATGTTAGGAGCGTCTGGAAGCCGTTCCTTGTGGGGGTCTCTGTCACGAATCCTGTCCATGGACTTCCGTTCGCTTGCCACCAGAGGTCGCCCTCCCGTTATATAGACACTCACACCACACAGACTGTCACACATCACCCTGGACTACATTTCCATTCCAAGTTTCCAGTGTCTTGTCTAGCCTAGCCTAGTTCTTAGTCTGTTTACCCGTGTCTTGATCCTTGCCTGTTATCTAGTCTCGTCTGATCTCCGCCTGCCTTGGAATTTAGCCTGTTTTGGAATTACCCTTTGCCTTTCTGTTTCGGACTGTGTTTGCACCTCGCCTGGACTCTAGCTTGTCTTGTGGATTCCCCATTTGCCTCAGGATTACGTTCACTATTGACTGACTCACGCCTTCCTTTGGATACTCTTTTGTTTTGCCTGAAATATACCTGTTTGCCACTGTTTGACCCATGCCTGTTTTATGACCACGTCTCTGTCTAATAAAAGCCTGCAGATGGATCCGCACGTCTCACGTCCCGTTCGCCCCATTACATCATCATTTACTAAGTCTCAAAACGTTTGGGTCATCACCATGGACAATAAGGTACAGCTGACGGGCGTTGTTAAACACAACATGAATTGGAGACTGCAACAGAATGCTTTTAAGTGTAATAGGCATATGCGTTTTAGCAGTTTTCCTGTTTCTGTGGTACCCATAGCCTTCTCGTTGCAGCATTATTCACCTGGGCATTAGAGGGCACTCTCAGAGGGTGCAAGAAATGCATTGATTCACCTATTTAAAGGGCAGAAGGAGGAGTAACAGTAGGCATTTATGGAAGCATGAAGTGCTCTAAAATTTCCTGGTAGATGGCTGCGTTGACTGTGGTTCTGGACTTTTTATTTAACAGAAAAATACAAGTGAGAGTATGTGAAGAATATTCTAGAGTATATACGGTGGAGAATGGACTTCCACAAGGTAGCGTTTGTAGTCCATTATTATTCAAAATAACAATTAAAGATATTTTCTCTCAGGTTGAACAAAATGTAGGAAAATCTTTGCATGCAGATGACGTGGATTAGGGGCCACAATATATCATATGTCTAAAAGAAAATGTAAGCTGCAATAGTTAAAGTGGAAAATTGGTCAAAAAAATTGGGATTTAAATTATCTGTAGCAAAAATACAGGTCATTTGTTTTTCAAGGCAGCATAAAATCACACCAAGGCCCAGACTGGCAATCGGGAGCACCGGAAGAATTCCCGGTGGCCTGACAGCTGATTTGGCCCACTGCCCTGTTTATATATACATTTCTGAATTCGACATTCGTTAATAAATCGATAATAATTTGATAATAAATCATGAGTCGGACAGTCTTAACTGACAGCACTATATACGATTTGGCTCACGTCTATTCTGAGCTTCTGTCAAACAGTTTTGAACAGAGTAATCGAGGAAGGAGAGGAAGCGGCCAGAAGAAGCAGTGAAATGTGGCAAAATTAGTGACCTGTTCAGAACTTCAAGTGCAGGTGAGTTTCATCTGTAAATAGGCTACTGTAGATTTGTTTTTGTTAACTTAGACATCATTATTATCTATTGTAAAGTTACATTTGTAAATTTACCAGACAGATATTCACATGTATTTATAGTATATCGAGGGAGCTAGAGCAGACAACAGCACAAAAATTAGTCATAATGCAATAACCTGTTCAGAGTTAGGATTTTTCTATAAAGATATTGTACTAATTTTGACAATTAGGCACTTTAGAAAGTTTGTTTATTTAGTTTGGGTATTTAAACAATTTTAAGATAAATAACAACAATAAAATTTTATCCTAATTTAATACTTTGAGCAGAGTTTAGCTCCAGCTTGCCTCAACACACCTGCCTGGAAGTTTCTAGTATGCATAGTAAGACCTTGATTAGCTGCTTCAGGTGTGTTTGATTAGGGTTGGAGATAAACTCTGCAGGACACCGGCCCTCCAGGACCGAGTTTGGGCACCCCTGCCCTACACCAACCCTACACCTAAACCTGCCCCTTACAGAAAACTACTGGCAATTTTTGAATGTCATAAACCACCGTTTTGTATGTTTTTTTAAGCCTTTTGTTTTACGGTGACACATTTGTGTCCTCACAAACAATGTTTACGTTGTAGTACCCATGTCATTATACACATTTGTGTCCTCATAAACCATATATACCAGTAAACACACACACACACTCTCTCACACACACACACACACACACTCTTACACACACACACACACTTAATCTATGTATGTATGTATGCACCAAGAGCTCCTAAAAAAACACAACAAATTCCTTGTGTGTTTGCACACACTTGGCGAATAAAGCTAATTCTGATTTTGATTCTAGATTGTTTGGACCCAAAGCATTTATTGTAATTGAAATAATCAAAGATAATAGTCTACTGTTATAAACATGAACCTCATCTGATTTTTTATATGATATCATAAAGAAAGAATTTACAGTATGTTTTATTTGTATGGTTTTATAATATCTGTGTCAAACAGGGCAGGACCTGCCATGCCATATGTTCTCACATTTGGTTTTATTAGTGTGTCAGAATCAGGAGTTTCAGGAAGATCGGCTAGATGCAAACAATGTTGGAAAACAATTAAAGGCAATCTGTAGGGCCAGTGGCGAAACAAAAGGAAAATGAAACAAAAGATTCTCCACCCGGCCCCCCTCCGGGGGAGGGAGTGTTGTGATCACCATCTCCCGAAAAGCTGCTTCCTCCATCTCTGGGTCACCTATCTCAGACTCTTACCTGTCCGTTTGCCGACAAGTTTGGCGGGGGCCTGGATGGGCTGGGCGGCCTGCCTACGACCGGCTCCACGGCGCTGCTTGGCTGGAGGCTGCTGCAGCGCAGGAGCGGGGGTGGACGCAGCAGACCGCCCTCAGCGACAAGCAGACTGAGGCACTCGGGTGGAGGCAGCAGCTGTCCGCCAGGGCAGAATGTGTTTGATTGCCTACGTCTGCATCTGTGCAGTCGATAACTGCTGGGCAAAGCTCTTGACTGCGTCATTGAAGAGGCCAGTCTGGGACACGGTGGAATTTAAAAAACGACTTTTATCGGCATCCCTCATGTCAGCTAGACACAACCAGAGATGGCGCTCCTGGACCACAAGCGTGGACATCACACGACCCAGCGAACGTGCAGTGACCTTCATCGCTCATAACGCGAGGTCAGTAGTCACCCACAGTTCTTTCAGAACCTCAGGATTGTGACCACCCTCATGCAGGTCCTTCAGTGCCTTGGCCTGATGAACCTGCAACAACGTCATAGCGTGTAAGGCCGAGGCCGCCTCTCCACAGGCCGCATAAGCACTGCCAGTCAGACTAGATGAATGCGTACAGCATTCATTGCTTTGGACACAACTGCATTGCAGCCGACTGCTCCACCAGGGGGATCTCTTTGTACCACCTGGCAACCCCGCCATGGAGAGTGGTGAGGGAGGAGGAGCTACCAGATCCGTTTCGGCCAGTAAAAGGTACCTTCCACAACCCTCTTCAAAGGTGCCTTCACGACCCTCTAAGCTCTTTATGCACTTCCGAAAAGAAAGGCACCGACTGGGGTGCAGAGAACCAGCATGAGCCGCCTCGAGAAACCAATCATCCAGCCTTGAAGGCTCGGTACACGGTGGAGGTCTCCACTCTTGTCCGATCTTTTCGGCGGCCCTGGTAAGCATAGCCATCATCTCAGGGTCCGATTCAGGCATTGTCACCGTCCTAGAAGGTGGCACCACAGCTGAATCATCATCCCCAGAGAGCTCAGGCTCACTCATCCCCAGAGAGCTCAGGGAGCCCCAAAGGATACGACTGGTACACTTTGAGAAGGTCCAGCACGTTTACCGGGCATCTCCACTGGCTGCGGAGCGCGAGTGGAGTGAGGGCCCCTGGGAGGTTGGTTCCTCGGAGGGGAAGTCCTCACTGTCCCTTTGAGACCACCCAGGCGACTGCCCGAAGCAGTCCTCCCCCTTTTGGAAAGAGAACTGGATCTAGCAGAGGCACTGGAACTCCACCCCTCTGGAGGTAATGGAGTCTGGTCCGCAACTCAGAGATGGTCATCTTCCCGCAATGAGAACATGACTCATCCACGAAGGCCACCTCAGCATGGTTAATGTTCAGACATGTAAGGCAGTGACTGTGACCGTCGCAAAATGCACAGGTGAATCTACATTTTTACATAGACGCAACGCCGTCTTTAAAAAGACGCACCCATGAATGCTCTTTTAGGAAGTGCTCTTTTAGTTGTGCTGAGGCACACAGGGGAGATGGCCGCTGTAACACTACAGGGGGTAGTGCAGACTGTAGTGTACACCCACTCAACGAAGGATCTGACCACCCGCTGCAGCACCATAAAACCCGCACACAGAGGCTTCCTTGCAGAGTATATTCACTTGTTCACGAACACCGAAGCTTGTTGTGCCTATTTATATTCGCGCTGCGAGGCATGGCAGTCAGATGCAAATATCACATACCAATGTGCATTGGCTCGTTTAGTTTACACTCGAAGTAGATTGGTCTCTCTAGCGAGATTCCCAATTCGATGGTCACTGACGTGACGTTGAAAGTAAAAAGGGAAAATAAATTATGTTGGTACAAATAGGAGATATAATCCTTAAACTGGACTAGGTATTGGACCTAATCTCAATTTATTAAATGTTCTAATGTACAGTATGTGTATGATGCTAAATGAGTCATGTTGTCAGAGAGAACAAAGTGAAAGACCTTTACCTGGCATACTGCAGTAACAGCCTGGAGAGCACACTTCTTCACACTACCCAGCAATAAAGGCTTGGAGTCGTTAAGTTCCTCAATCTTTGAGCAATAAACCAGTATTTGATCGAGATCATCTTCCTAATAGGAGTAAAAAATAGTTATGTACAGTATATTTACAAATAAAGAAAAACAGACAATGAAAACAGACATCAGTGAGGGTTGTCAATTGTCCAGGTCATTGCAAAATGTTTCCCTAGAGTCACATTTACTGCATTTCATCAAGATGCAAATCTCAATTGCTTAAGATGTCTCAAGCATTTTAGTGGATTGGAAAGGAACAGGAAGGCTGTTTCCAGTCAAAATCCTGTGCTTTGATGCCACTTGTATGAACTTCTTTAAAGCACCAAAAAATAATTTGAGCTGAACTAGAATAAACTAGATACTTGGCATGGGAATTTAACAATTCAGTTTCAGCATTTCAATCAAATAACAATCCCAGGCTCTTTATGAAAAAGAACAAATCAGTTTTTCTGAGTATTCAACAGCAGTATTCCAGGCACAGAATAGAAGAAAACAGAACTAAACTGAACTAAAAGTCATGAAATGTAATCATAATTTTAACCATATATCATTTTGTGATGAGTACCTGTTGATATTTTCCCTCAAAGTCCCGTGTAAATGTCTCTCTCCATTCTTTGGTTAAGTCCTTACTCATGAAATCTATGGTTATAATGTTATTCCACATCTGTAAAGCAGAACAAACAAAATTATTATAATAAACTACATCGATGTCAATGAACTGTCAATTTATAATAATAAAATAATAATTTGTTACATTTATATAGTGCTTTTCTGGGTACTCAAAGCGCTTTGCATGAAGGAGGGGGGGGATCTCCTCAACCACCACCAGTGTGCAGCATCCACCTGGATGATGCGACGGCAGCCATACAGGTGCATCTCAATAAATTAGAATGTCGTGGAAAAGTTCATTTATTTCAGTAATTCAACTCAAATTGTGAAACTTGTGTATTAAATAAATTCAATGCACACAGACTGAAGTAGTCTAAGTCTTTGGTTCTTTTAATTGTGATGATTTTGGCTCACATTTAACAAAAACCCACCAATTCACTATCTCAACAAATTAGAATACTTCATAAGACAAATAAAAAAAACATTTTTAGTGAATTGTTGGCCTTCTGGAAAGTATGTTCATTTACTGTACATGTACTCAATACTTGGTAGGGGCTCCTTTTGCTTTAATTACTGCCTCAATTCGGCGTGGCATGGAGGTGATCAGTTTGTGGCACTGCTGAGGTGGTATGGAAGCCCAGGTTTCTTTGACAGTGGCCTTCAGCTCATCTGCATTTTTAGGTCTCTTGTTTCTCATTTTCCTCTTGACAATACCACATAGATTCTCTATGGGGTTCAGGTCTGGTGAGTTTGCTGGCCAGTCAAGCACACCAACACCATGGTCATTCAACCAACTTTTGGTGCTTTTGGCAGTGTGGGCAGGTGCCAAATCCTGCTGGAAAATGAAATCAGCATCTACAAAAAGCTGGTCAGCAGAAGGAAGCATGAAGTACTCCAACATTTCTTGGTAAACGGGTGCAGTGACATTGGTTTTCAAAAACACAATGGACCAACACCAGCAGATGACATTGCACCCCAAATCATCACAGACTGTGGAAACTTAACACTGGACTTCAAGCAACTTGGGCTATGAGCTTCTCCACCCTTCCTCCAGACTCTAGGACCTTGGTTTCCAAATGAAATACAAAACTTGCTCTCATCTGAAAAGAGGACTTTGGACCACTGGGCAACAGTCCAGTTCTTCTTCTCCTTAGCCCAGGTAAGACGCCTCTGACACTGTCTGTGGTTCAGGAGTGGCTTAACAAGAGGAATACGACAACTGTAGCCAAATTCCTTGACACGTCTGTGTGTGGTGGCTCTTGATGCCTTGACCCCAGCCTCAGTCCATTCCTTGTGAAGTTCACTCAAATTCTTGAATCGATTTTGCTTGACAATCCTCATAAGGCTGCAGTTCTCTCGGTTGGTTGTGCATCTTTTTCTTCCACACTGTTTCCTTCCACTCAACTTTCTGTTAACATGCTTGGATACAGCACTCTGTGAACAGCCAGCTTCTTTGGCAATGAATGTTTGTGGCTTACCCTCCTTGTGAAGGGTGTCAATGATTGTCTTCTGGACAACTGTCATTTGAGTTGAATTACTGAAATAAATGAACTTTTCCACGACATTCTAATTAATTTGGACGCACCTGTATTGTGCCAGAATGCCCACCACACACTAGCTTATTGGTGGAGAGGAGACAGAGTGATGAAGCCAATCAGTGTATGGGGATTAGGAGGCCATGAGGGTCAGAGGCCAATGGGTAAATTTGGCCAGGATGCCAGGGTTACATCCCTACACTTTTTCGAAGGACATCCTGGGATTTTTAATGACCACAGAGAGTCAGGACCTCAGTTTAACGTCTCATCCGAAGGACGGTGCTTTTTACAGTATAGTGTCCCCATCACTATACTGGGGTGTTAGGACCCACGCAGACCACAGGGCTGCTGGCCTCACTAACACCTCTTCCAGCCTCAACCTAGTTTTCTCAGGAGGTCTCCCATCCAGGTACTGACCAGGCTCAACCCTGCATAGCTTCAGTGGGTAACCAGTCTTGGGCTACAGGGTGATATGGCTGCTGGCCATGAACATACTTGTTCTGCTTACCTCAATCTCTCTAGTGAATTTGGCAACCATTCCAGAAACTCTGTTTAAAAGTCTGCTTTTGAAAGTTAGTCCAATCCATGTTCGGACTGTTTGCTTGGCATCACTGAGTAACTCATGAGTCTTCTCAGAAAAAGTGTCCGTATGTTGTGTTGTCTTAGGGTTGAACAAATGTCAGGCATTTTGAGTCATTGTCTTCTGAATATCTAATGGCTTTAATCAGTTATTTAAAACAAAGATAATATGATTTCAGAATGGAATACCTGGGCAAATCCTGATACAGAGGCCACAAGGTTCATGCAAGCAACAGTAATATCTGTAAATGCACGACTGACTGTTTTGCAGATCATCTTTAGAAGTTTGCAAGCTGCTTGAATGCACTGACTGCCATAATCCTCATTCAGACACCTACAACAATAATGAAAGCCAGTTAACCAGAGCATATTGATAGGGCTATTGGATTTTTTTTCTTTTGTATTAGGGGTCCTGATATCATTTTGAATATCATGGAATATCACATAATTTAGCACAAATCATCTAGAGACTCTCCTGAGATAAAGCTTTGCAGGTATATACCAATGAAATGTCTGGAAGTGGCCTTTTCATAATATATAATAAACGTGAAGTTATATTTTATTTTTATCTTTGCCAAAGCCTTTGTCATTTCTAACACTGACTGGAGGTAACATTAACCATGCATTGTCATTTTACCCACTACTGGAATAAAATTGCAATAAAACAATAAGACAACACCGGACGCGAGCGTCGTGGTGCGACGCGACAAAATACAGTAGAACCCATTATATAATTATGGCCCTATGATTTCTGCGATGTGGAAAACGCGGACGGAATCACGGAATACAGACATAAAAACAGAATTTACTGTATAACGCGGAATGTCACAGAATTTGTCAAAGTTGGGTGGATAAATCAAAAGTAGGTCATTACACTTAAATCAAATCACAATATTGACTGGTATCTGTAAATATTAAGCTGCAAAAATACAATTTAAATATGAATCCTGCGTGTGTCTTTATGAATGAATGGCAAAGATGCGCGGTTTTGTTTACTACACACATACTGAAGTGCGCAGTGTTTTCAGCGTCTGTGGTCTCGCTAAAGGAGAACATAAATACATGAACAACAGTCAGTGTCTGCTCTATTATAAATAATTTATATTTTTAAAATACCAAAAACAGCAGAATTACAAGATGGAAATATAGACTAGAAATATATTTAAACTTGCTCTGCCCTTACGTCCATGACATTGACTCACTGCCGAGTTGTTTTGGCAATCTTTACAGCTCTTAACGCCGTATGTGCTCTTATGGTTTGATACATGATGGGCTAATGTAGAAGCAAATAACTTTAAATAAATCACTTTTAAAAATAAACCCCTTTGTATTGCATTGCATATTGCATGTTCAGGGATCACAGATTGAGAAACAGACATGCTATTTATGACTGGATGTAACTTTTCATACTTTGCAGTAAAAGTGGCTCTCCTATTAACTTTGTCCTATAAGTGCGGATCTCGTGAAAACAACAGTGAAGATCACTGATATAGTGCTTTATACCATACAGTTTCAAAGCATCTTTCAAAGTTTCAAAGCAGTTTCAATGCACAGTAATAAACAAGAAAATAGCACTGTTGTTGTAAAATTAATCAATTATAAAATTACTTCATTTTTAGCTGTAAAGCAGCACTATAAAAGACAAAAGAGCCAATAGTGTTTTCACATCCCTTTTTGTCCTCCATTCCGAATTTGAACACCCATCATATTATCTTGGGTGGAGATTTTAATGGTTGTGGACCCTACAGATGATAGGTCAAATACCAAATCTCTAGAACAAACAGTATGGCTAAGGCAGAGTCAGACTGGATGTGTTGAACCAAAAGGCATTTTCTTCCCTTTCTAATGTATATAATTGTTAGTCAAGTATTGAGTAATTTTTATTCATACAATATTCTTTTACAATTAGTTAATTATTTCTGAATATTCAGCTATCAATATCTCTGATGATGGCCCACACATTCTTAATATGGATTTGAGCAACACAAGAAACAATAAACAATGGTGGCTTGATGTGGGTTTATTACCAGATTTTGTCAATTTTGTGAGTATATTAGCATTAACATCAAGGGGCTTATCAATATTAATAAGACAATATCAATTTCTACCTCTTTGTTATGGGCCCTTTAAAGCAGCTGGTTTGACGCATTCGAATGTGACTGCAGCTTAAGGCGAGACATAACGATGTGGCTGTGGCTGGCAGAGAGAGAGAGACGAGAGTTCGCCTCCTTCCACTTTATAGCCTCGCTTCCCCAGCTCAGCCAATAGGGAACTAGAGAAGACAAAATAATATAACAATATTAATTCAAATAATTATTTGTGGATTCTGGCCCGGGGGATTTGCGAAATGCACTTAACACCCTAACATGACATGTAAAACAATTCATTGAACGTTAAAGTAAACGCAAGCAACCATATATTCTATTAACAATACAATCAATATTTGTCAGCTTGCATATCTTTGCTTGTCGGAGAAGATAAAAGTTGAACAGCCACAGGGAACTACAGGATGCAAGTTAAACTCAAAACAGTCAGATATAAAAATATTTTCTATTTTTTAAAGTGTTCCACAAATCATTTATGATTCATTATAGTGCAAATATGTTTCTGATGTTCTGTTTCTAAAATTCTGATGGGGCAAACTGATGTAGGTAAGTGTTGATATTTATGGGGATAAAGTATGCCACAACACTGACATGTTCACATAGCTTTAGAGAGTACAGAGTGGACAAAGCCTTTGACTAGATTCACTTCAAGCAAGAGCTGTTGAGACATGTTCTGAAACACTCGAGCATATGGCCATGCAAGTATATTTGTATCCAGGGGACATATGAAGAGAAAACAAAGGTTTGAGTCTCTATACCGGCAGGGATTGTTGGTGGGGGGAGTGAATGTACAGCGCTCTCTTCTACCCAGAGCCAGAGCATGTGAGCGGAGCGGTAATATTTCCTTAAGAGCGCAGAGTGCCTTTCTGAAGATTCCACTCCACTCGCTCAACCCAGAATGCCATTTGGTGATTTGCTTGTTCGAGATTCTGTAGAGATCGAGAATAGTAGAGCAGTTATGGAGTTATAATATAAAAACTGCAACTGGCCACTTGGATTATGAACCGCTGACAAAAGGTGAACGAGAAGGCATGCGTCATTTTGTCAGTGTTGCCCAGCCCGGGTACACCACTCCATGCTACAGTACAGTGCGTGATACACTGATGCCAAATGCTCTTAGTGAGATGGAAGGCAGGCTTAGGGAGCTGTTGCAGTTAGGAGATGGCTTCACGCTTACGCTAGACATATGGACAAACAGAAGTGGACACAGCTTTCTGGGTGTTGTGGCAAGTTTCGTTGATGAAGTGTTCAATGGTCACACTGTGTTTCTGTCCTGTGAACATCTTAAAGGACACCACACAGCTGAGAATATTTTTCAGAAATATGAAGGTGTTTTACAACACTGGAATTTACAAAGACGCGTTGTCAGGGTGGTGACCGACAGCGCCAGTAACATGATAAAGGCTTTCAACCTCCCAGGGTTTGAGGAAAGTGCAGTAGAAGAGGAGGGACTACCCATTTGTGCGTTTGCGGAGACACTGTCAGTTAATGTCTCCTCTTGTTTTAACAGATTCTATTCTGACAAGCACCTTGTGTTGGCGGCTGTATTAGATCCACATATAAAAACAGAATGGATTATTAGAGATGGTACAGTGAGCAATCAACTCGCAGAGATTCGCGAAATGTTGGTGAAGGAGGCAGAATGCAGTCGTATAGACACAGTTACTGAGGCCAGAAGTGTTCCCAAGAAGGTGCGCATTTTCGGCTCATATGAGAGTAACTCGAGTGTAGCTGACACCTCCAGAGGTCAGATGGAGGAGTACCTGGGCTCAATGAGAAAAAGTCCACAGGAAGACGTTCTAGGATTTTGGAAAACCAGTGCTGGATCCCTCCCTCAACTAGCCATGGTCGCCTGCAAAATCTTCAGCATCCCCAGTGGTTCTTCCAGCACTGAGCGAGTGTTTTCTGCCGCTGGATTGCTTTCCCGGGCACACCAAATGAGCCTGACACTTTGTCCAAGCTAATGTTTCTTAAAGTAAATTCTAAAATCCAGTAAACATCAAGAGACGTTTTAATAGACCACAGTTCCCCACAGTTATGGTCAGTTTTAACTTTCTTTCATTGACGTCAGTTCATAATCCAAGCGTTCTTTAAGTGCATTTTATCTTGGGTGTGCTTTTCACAGGCTTTATAATCCAGGTGTATTTTGTAAAGATCTACACACATTTAATTTCGTGTGTGTGTGTGCGCGTTTGTGTTTTAATGAGCCTGTTTTGAATGTTCTATTGCACAACAACTGCAGCTATTTTCACGGAAATAAAGTTAATGAAACTCAAATACACTTTGAGTTTTTGCATTTTAGGTAGGTTTGCTAAGGTTAGATTCATATATTTGATACATTAATACATTACAATTAATAAAATTAAGAAGAATGTAAGAATTTCGCTCTGAAACATGATAATTGCTATTTATCAGCATGCTTAATTTTAGACAATTATCCAAGAATTTCGGTACAAACAGTAAACAATTAGGCTTACTAGAGAAATTGTATGTCGGAACGGGAATTGGTTTACGGCGAGCGCAAGCTGAATATTAACGGAGCGCTTGCTTGGGTGGTTAGAGTGACTGAGTGGAGCACACGTCCATAGAGCGGAAAACATAGCGGAGTGCTTCGCTCACATGCTCTACCCAGAGCCGGTTTAAGAACTGGTTCAAGGAAATCAAAAACTAGAAACAAATGAAATTGACAGGAACATAACCAGAAACAAAAAATAAATTAAATGTAATCATTCCGAACAGATATTCCTATTTGAAATGGCCTTTAACAGGTTAATAACATTATTGAATCGTTCCGTTTAGAATTTTAATTTTGCAATCATGAATTCAAAATGTTACGGTCATATCCCCTATCGTATTCTACAACAAAAACAATCAGAGCACCTTGTTATCACTAATTTTATTTTGATTTCCTGAGTCCGCTATTAGCATATAGCCCATTAGCATCGCCAACGTTGTAACGATCTGCCTTATTGGAAGATGTTACGTTTGTTAAAAAGGGGTCAGATTATACTATGTGAGAGCTTTGAGTGTTTAAAAGATGAGACAGACAACAATGTTAAAAGTGAAAATCAAATATGCATTTACAATATTCACAAGAGCCTTAAAACAACACAAAACTAGAAGTCTAGAGTCTTTCAGTTTCATACCATTAAAACAGTCCTTAAGAAATCCAGTGTGTTGCTAGTCCCAAAGTGAATGTCCCCAAAAGTGTCCACCGGTGTATATACAAAAGTCCACTGTAGTGTTAATCCAAAGTGCTGGAAAGGTAAGTCCACAGAGGTAACTCCACTATTCCAGTTTGCAGGTGATCACCACTTGGTCGTAATGAGAGCAACGACCATGCTTGTTTGACATGCTGCCTCCTTTATGCTGTCCATTTCCTACTTCCTGTCATGTGATCAGTCACATGACAGGCAGACCCAAACTCATTTAAAGACATACACACATTAAAATGGTTAAGAGCAATAAAATGGTTAAGACAACATGAAAACCTATTAAAACACAAATATACATAAAATAATAAAAAGTATATTGAGCAGGTTAAAAC